TTCTGTTTGCTAGGTTTAAGGTTTAGGGTCTAGGTTTGACTCTTCCGATTCTGCCCACAACACTGAACCCTGAACCCCAAAGAAGAAGAGAGGTAGCCATGGGCCCTTTCCTATAGGACAGCGCGCACTTGCCCAAGCCCTTCTTACCTAGCTGCCCCAAGTTAAAGCTGTGAGGTGGAGGGGGGGGGGAGTTTACACTTTAGGATTTGGGGCATTGGGGGCCTGTAGCCTTAACCCTAAACCCTAAACCCTAGACCCCAAACCCTAAACCCTAGACCCTAGATACTAGACCCTAAACCCTAAACCCTAAGCCTCATACACCTTTGATCCTCAAGTGCTATCTCGATCATCTACGAAGCTGCACGAAGGTGCTGCCTGCCAAACGCAGTCTTCTGATCCAAGCCAAGGTGCTGTTCTGCTATTTGCTTCAGAACTCCCCCCAAAACACATAAACCCTAAACCCAAAACCCTCCGAAAGCCAGACTGTCGTTTTGCCCTTTGGACGGTTGGATCACAGCAGTAGGCCGTCCACCCGTTGACGTCCACGCGAACCGTGTCGGTCTGCACTCCCAGGTGCAAGGTGCGGCCGCCGAGCGCACTTCGCGTTCGCGGAAGCGTCCGTCAAAGTCTCAAAGTTCACGGGGGCTTAGGGCTTACGGGGCTTACGGGGCTTGCAGGGCTTCTTACAGGGCTTACAGGGCTTGCAGGGCATCCAGGGTTTAGGGCTCAGGGTTCAGCCCACAGACCACACGTTACGTCGCAGCCCAGGACATGTCGTTCAACGTGCGCACGCCGAGACATCGTGGTTTTTGGGCTTAAAACTCAGCGCGCCCTCCACGCGGTTGCGCTTCCCCCCCCCCCCCCAAATGCAGAGCCGCCATGGCTAAGCTGCGTTCGAGCCACCTTCGTCGTGGTCGTACGTTCTTGAAGCGCCCCGCCGCTCAGCGCTGCAGACCCGCAGCAGCAACGCTGCCACACGCAGAAGCGAGAGACGAACAGAGAACACATCAAGCGGAAGCTTCCCTTGAGACGTGGCCGCCTCCTCTTCTCGTGTGCGTGTGGAGCCAACTGTTCCGATGCTGCTGCTGGTGACTGAGATTCTGTTCGCAGTGAAACGACGCGTGGGCTTGGAGCAGGCAGACTCTGACCTGCCGCTGCTTAGCTTGGTAGCAGATGTGCTTCAAACAATTCAGACCTGCGATGGCGTGCAAGCTCACTTCACTGCAGCTTCACGTCGACAGTATGGTGAGGCAGTGGCTTTTCGTGGCAAGCTTCTTCTCGAGTTCGCCCCATCAGTGGCGTGGCCACCTCGAGGGCGTCTTACGTGACACTCACGCACACATTCGCGGTTTGCAGGGTTGCTGACTCGTGACGTCGCATGCTGCTGACAAAATGTTTGCCTCTGAATTACGCCCGCGACGACACGTTGCTATGCTAGAAAGCTATTTTTGAAGCCGCATTCCAACATAACACCTAATTGCTCTTACCCTGAACCACGAATGCTTCGGTATGTACGAGGCTCCCGCACCTTTCAATAGATGCGCGGCAAGACACAGGGTTTGAGCGTTTAAGTTTAGGGTAGGGACTTGACTCGATGGTTCAGAAGCACCCAGTTTGTTTCCAAAGGGTTCTGGGAACAGTTCTGCTTAAGGGGTTTAGGGTTTAGGATTTAGGGTTTAGGAATTAGGGTTTAGAGTTTAGGGTTTAGGGTTTTCAGCTCAAGGCTCAGGGGAAGCGAAGACGGCAAGCTTCTCGCGCCAACGGGGGATGTAGCGATGAAACCACTGAATGCCTTGTGGGGAGGGGACCCTTTTCATGGTGGGCTGCGGGGATGTTCCCCTTTATACTAACAGTCCTTAGGGGTTATAGTAGCCCCGATTATAATACCGATTAAGGATTGAGTATTAATTAGGGGGAAGCATCCCAAGTGAGCTGGAGGATTATCTGGATTGAGAGTTTGCAGTCCTCTTATGTAGGCCTTGTAAACCCAGATGAGCAGGGTACCCCGCCCAAGAGTCCAACACCCCTGAATTCAGAAGCATTCTGTAAATCGGTTTAGGGTTAGGGTTTAGGGTTTAGATCCCTTGGAAGGGGTATTGGACTCCGCTCGATGGCTGCCTTCTGTCGTTTAGCACCGGGCATTGCTGCACTTGGTCTGAGTGTTGGGTGGTGTGTCGGAGTTGAGCAGCTTCGGTAGCGACACCCAACACCCCAAGTCCAAACCCTATAAACCCTAAATCCTAAACCCCAAACCCCAAACCCCAAACCCCAAACCCCAAACCCCAAACCCCAAACCTTATACCCTAAACCAAAAACCCTTTAACCCGAAACCCGAAACCCTAAACCCTAAACCATCAACCCTAAACCCTAGACCCTAAACCCTAAACCCAAACCCTAAACCCTAAACCCTAAACCCCGAACCCTAAACCCTAAACCCTGAATACTAGACCCTAACCCTAGATTCTATGCCCTTTACAGGGCTGAAGGGGTCCCAACCTAGAACCCCGCATGAATAGGGCAGATACCCCCATACTGAGCCGGTGTTTCCGAAAATTTTGGAATCAATTCAGGACCCCTTTGGAATGTAGGGAGTCTTCCATAGTTAAGGGGAATTGGCCTGCACCACTCACTACTCGACGGCAGTTCGTGTTTCAGCCTTTTGTTGAGATCAAGCACAGGATCGCTGCACTGGGTCTGAGTCCTTCGGCACCCCCAACCACTGCAGGATGTGTGTGGTGTGAGAACATGCGGCCTATCGTATTCTTGGGCTTCCCTTCGACTCGCATGATAATCCCTAAACCCTAAACCCTGAACTCTAAACCCTAAACCCTAAGCCCCCAAGCGGATGGATGCCCAACATCCTCTTCTCTACGCCGGCTGCTGCCTTTACATTCTGGGTTTGGGCTTCTTTGGGTTCAGGGTCGACATGAATCAAGGAAGCCATACTCGGACCCCAATGGACATACCCCTAGGAGGTTCTCTAAAGCCCAAACCCTAAACCCTAAACCCTAAACCCTAAGCCCTAAGCCCCAAGCCCCAAGCCCTAAACCCTAACATACTCCTGACATGGCACTTGTGTTCCTTAAAGAATCCTTAAAAAGTGTCCCCAAACCCAAGTCCGTATGAGAGTCTTAGCTCCTTCTAAGCATCGGTGAGTGCATATTTGGGGAGTCCGTCTGGGGATACCCTCGACCCTGAACCCTTAACCCTGAACCCTTAACCCTTAACCCTTAACCCTTACCCCTAAACCCGAACCCCTAAACCCCAAACCCCAAACCCGCAACCCTCAACCTTTCACCCTTAACCCTTAACCCTTAACCCTTAACCCTTAACCCTTAACCCTTAACCCTTAACCCTTAACCCTTAACCCTTAACCCTTAACCCTTAACCCCAAACCCTTAACCCTTAGCCCTTAACCCTTAGCCCTTAACCCTTAACCCTTAACCAACCACCCACTTTACAGACCCACACATGCTCCTGGGGTTGAAGGGTTTATAGGCGATAGGGGTTGAGGGATTTTGCACGGATGAGGATCTTGCTTGGAATTCTTAACGGGGTGTGCAGTGAAGTCGACAAGATCTGATCCTCTGTAGCCGCTTGATTTTCCGCGCTTCGCTCCTCAACACGTTGCGCATCGTCACGTAGCCTCACGTAGACACGTTGATCGATCTTAGGTTCGTTTTGCACTTCCTCGCGAGACTGGGGAATAGACAGCTCGGCCCTCTCTCAGCAAAAGCCCCCGCCCAGCCTCAGACCTTTAGGGCTTAGGACCCACCTCCACTAGGAAGCTCTCTGTACATGGAGGGCTTCACAGCTGAGAGGGCCATGCGCAATACGGAGAAGGAACCCGCCTTGGGCAAATCGGTGGTTTGGGGGTCAGCTGTTTTGCCGGCATGCTTGCAATGAGGACTCCTGCAACGTGTCTGTGCACACCCTTCATACAGGTCCAAGCATGAGGGATCATGCATTTTTGCTAATGATGGTCCATTTTGTGTCTCTCTCTGCTTGGATACTCTCATAGCTTCAGGTACCCGACAAAGCTTCCCCCGAGATTCCGAATCCCAGTACACGTCCCTCAGCTGAAGCATGCACAGACACAGACAGAGAAGCCCTAAACCCTAAACCCTAAACCTTAAACCCTAAACCCCAAACCTTAAACCCTAAACCCTACACCTGAAACCCTGAACCCTACACTGCAATCTTGGCCGTGTCTATACTCGCGGACTCCTCCTCACGCAGGGTAATGATAATGACCTGGTTTAGGGTTTAGGGTTTAGGGTCCCGGATGATCAGAATAATATACCCATATGGGTAGTTCTCTACATGTGTGTCCATATTATGTAGGTGCCGTATTATGCCCTAATTTACCCATAGGCAAATCTATTCTAATTGCGTAAGACGTTTTTGCCACTACACAGCAGTACTGTATCAAAACAAATCAGCTGTATCACAGCATCTGCCTTCACCTTTAGCTACGCAACAGCTTCCGTTGGTCTCCATACCTACATCCGCTGTCGGTCATCCAAGCCCTCAACCCTAAACTCTTAAACCCTTAAACCCTAAACCCTTTACACTACCCTTATCCCCCTTGCCTCCCAGGAGGAGCTTGTAGGAACCTCCTGAAGGTGTGCAGCCTAAACAACGAAGTCATGGGCAAGTGGGTGGCTGAAACTCGGCTTTGAACTGCAACGAGGAGTGTGGCACATTGAGACCAACCTCGGCAGATAGAAGAATGCATAACTCTAAACCCTGAACGCCGAGCCCTACGAGGTAACCGAGCCCCGCACGATGTTCTGAAGGAACAGCATTAAAGAACCCGCACGGTGCCTTTGGCCCAATCTACACCCGGAACCCTAAACCCTGAAGCCTAACCCCTACACCCTGAACCCTGAACCCTACACCCTAAACCCTAAACCCTAAACCCTAAACCCTAAACCCTAAACCCTAAACCCTAAACCCTAAACCCTAAAACGCCAACCCTGAATCCCAGATCGCGCCAGGGCTCGCTGGCCCCTCCGCCGAGGATGGAACCGCATTCAGGGGCCCCCCGCGCTGCATGTTAGGGTATCGGGTTTAGGGTTTAGGGTTTAGGGTCTAGGGATGGGGGTTTAGGGGGTTTAGGGGCTTTAGGGGCTTTAGGGGCTTTAGGGGCTTTAGGGGGTTTTCGGTGGTTTTCGGTGGTTTTCGGTGGTTTCGGTGGTTTCGGTGGTTTCGGGTTTCGGGTCTGACGGGAAGTTTGAAGCCCATGCTGAGGTTGCGTCGGAGACTCCAAAGCCCTGTGGAGACTGGGGAGGGGCAGTGGCTTGGCATGCGTTTCAGGCTCAAGACCTATGGCTTGAGGGTTCAGGGTTTAGGGTTAGGGTTTAGGGTTTAGGGTTTAGGGTTTAGGGTTCAATTAGTGTTTAGGGGCAATTGCCCTACTCCCGATCCTGGATAGATGGGCACATTTCTTGTCAGTTTTGGGGGGCACCTCAGCTGGACAGCAGTGTGGGATGTATGGGGTTCAGAGTTAACCCTAATCTCCCCAAGCCTTCGTGGTAGCTTAGTGGTACCCTTTACCCTTTTTTTGGGGTTACGAGTTCCCTTTTAAAAACAACCAAACCCAAAAAGAGGTGCCCTTATTATTAAGAGGTGCCCTTATTATTATATGGTTGCTGGGCTACCAAGCCTTGTAAACCGGACCGGGCCAAGGCGCCCCAAACTCTTATAAACCCTGTGCCCTTAAACAGAATTTAAACCCCAAGCACCCTTAAACTCCCTAGTGCTACGCCGCTACGCACCCTCAAGCTCCCTGCTCCCTAAAGCTCCCCTAAACCCTGAACCCAAAAACCCTATGTTCCCTGAAGCTCCCCGGAGCTCTCTAAGCCTCGAAGCCCTTGAATCCGAGGTCAGTGGATTTCGTCCTCTGCTTCTGCAGCGTGGCGCGCTCGCCAGGTCGGAAGGGCCCCCAAGTGCGCCCTTCTTCCCTGAACCCTACACTCTAGGCCCCAAGGGATTAGGGTTTAGGGTTTAAGGGTCAACCTCCCAAAAGCCTTCGTTCAAATGTTGACCAAGACCCGAACGAAGCCCTAAACTCCACACGAGAGACCGTAAACTCCAAACCTAATAATCACTGTCTGGCTGGTGCTTACGGAGGTTGGTCGTGGAGGTAATATATAAACGTACATAGTTGCCAATTTTTTTCCTTAAGACTAATCACACTAGAATTGACCCAACGCACTGTTCTAACTATTCAAGCCCCCATATTGGGACACTTACTCAGGCAGCCTCGGCGCTAAGAAACCCCGCTCGGTCTCAGGCTCTTGATTGGATGAGAAGCCCTAAAGTTTTAGGCTCAGGGTGGCTTAGGGTAAACCACTGCATCTTCATCCGCAAGCCCCGACTTTGGAGATCAGGAAACTTTCACGAACCCGAACCAGAAATGGGTACTCCCCGTTTTTTCGGCACCAAGGAGCTCGGCACATAGAGAACGGGGTGACTGTGGATAGTGATCGGCCTGGCAAGTAGATGTTCTGCGGCTTCATGATCCTAAGACACGAAATGACAGCCTAAGCCCTGTGTTCAGCCCTGAAGTCCTGAACCCCTAAACCCTAAACCCTCTGTCCTGAACCCCTAAACCCTAACCCCTAAGCCCTAAACCCTAAACCCTAAACCCTAAACCCTCAACCCTCAACCCTCAACCCTCAACCCTCTAAACCCTCTAAACCCCAAACCCCAAACCCCAAACCCTAAACCCTAAACCCTGAACCCTGAACCCTAAACCCTAAACCCTAAACCCTAAACCCTAAACCCTAAACCCTAAACCCTAAACCCTAAACCCTAAACCCTAAACCCTAAACCCTAAACCCTAACCCTAAACCCTAAACCCTAAACCCTAAACTCTAACCCTAAATCGTTCCGCTCCTTGACGCCCAAGACCCCCTCCCAAAAAAACTACCTTCCCGAACTCGCGTGTGTCGAAGGTGGAGGCTATCCTGCTGTCGAGGAGACCCTTTTTGGTTTCAGAGTTTAGGGTTTAGGGCGAGGGCTGAGGGCTGAGGGCAATTTTTTTGAGGTTTAGGGCTTGAGGATACGGTTTCAACATCGGAGGCCACGCATTCCTGTCGCGTGAGGGAGTGATCAGCGTTCTTTTCGATCAGTTCGGGCCCCAAGCCTACTTGCGACAACGCCCCAACACCCAAAAGCACTAAAACGTCAACACGTTTCCATTTCTCTGAGGTGGATCTTGGACAGTGAGACACCTTGAGTTCGAATCGCAACTTCTACGGCTCTAGACCGTCAAAGGCGGAAGCCTAAATTTCCAATGATTGCCTATAGTATCCCCGGACTAGATCTCATGTCACAATCAGGAATCCCAGACTCCCTAGACAAAGGAATATTCCTTAGTCGGTATGGGGCTCCCCCAGCCCTAAACCCTAAACCCTAAACCCTAAACCCTAAACCCTAAACCCTAAACCCTAAACCCTAAACCCTAAACCCTAAACCCTAAACCTAACCCTAAACCCTAAACCCTAAACCCTAAACCCTAAACCCTAAACCCTAAACCCTAAACCCTAAACCCTAAACCCTAAACCCTAAACCCTAAACCCTAAACCCTAAACCCTAAACCCTAAACCCTAACCCCTCAACCCTAAACCCTAAACCCTAAACCCTAAACCCTAAACCCTAAACCCTAAACCCTAACCCCTAAACCCTAAACCCTAAACCCTAAACCCTAAACCCTAAACCCTAAACCCTAAACCCTAAACCCTAAACCCTAAACCCTAAACCCTAAACCCTAAACCCTAAACCCTAAACCCTAAACCCTAAACCCTAAACCCTAAACACTAAAACCTAAACCCTAAACCCTAAACCCTAAACCCTAAACCCTAAACCCTAAACCCTAAACCCTAAACCCTAAACCCTAAACCTAAACCCTAAACCCTAAACTCTTCTTCCCCTGGGTACGCTAGACCTGCCCGAGGACGAGCTGGGGTGGCTTGCGGAGCTGCTAGCTCCAGAGGCTAACAAACCCGGGTGTATCTTCTGCTTGAAGGTTCATGCTGTTCTGAGTAGGGCATGAAAAAACAAAAACAATATATACATATATACTGTATGAATATATATATATATATATATTGTATGAATATATATATATATATATACATACTTACATACTTACATACTTACACACCTACATACTTACATACTTACATACTTACATACTTACATACTTACATACTTACATACTTACATACTTACATACTTACATACTTACATACTTACATACTTACATACTTACATACTTACATACTTACTTACATATATACATATGTACACGTATGTATGCAGACACATACACCTTAATACCTTAATTCAGGTCGAGATGACAAGGTACTAGTCCCTACTTGCGCTTACGCTACTCCATGCCAGGAACCTTCAAGTATCCCCAATTAGTCCTAAACCCCAAGCCCTAAACCCACACCCTTAGGCACTACAGTCACTCAAGTCGTAGATGTCAGTTCCTTGCCAGGCAGATCTCCATCGGAACAGCACGCGAATCTATGCCGGGTACTCAGGAAACTGCCTGAGATCTGGCGGGCTGCAGGTTGGCATCTAGGGCGTAACCGTAAACCCTCAGCCCTAAACCCTAAACCCCAAACCCTAAACCCTAAACCCTAAAACCTAAACCCTAAGCCCTAAACCCTAAACCCTAAACCCATCGCCTAAACCCTAAGCCCTAAGCCCTAAGCCCTAAGCCCTAACCCCTAAACCCTAAACCCTAAACCCTAAACTCTAAACCCCCAAGTGCCACATGAGGTCAAGGAGAAGTGCGGCGACGCTGCGGCACCCGGCGCCGAGGTGCAGCCGTGAGGCTTGAGACTCTTAGGGCTTAGGTCTGGGGTTTAGGGTTTAGGGTCTAGGGTTCAGGGTTTAGGGTTTAGGGTTTAGGGGTTTAGGGTTTAGGGGTTGAAGGTTGGGCTTATGGGGAGGGCTTCCTAGGTCTTAGGGCTCGGGGGTTTTGGACTTCAGCGCATGGCACGCCTGCGTCTTTAGGGTTTAGGGTTTGGGGTTTAGGGTTTAGGGTTTAGGGCTAGGGTTTAGGGTTTAGGGTTTAGGGTTTAGGGCTCAGGGTTTAGGCTGGAAGCCTACTCCTAGGACTCCAGGTCCGGCAGCCTGAACACTTTGCAGATCCGACATCCTGAAGGGCCTTCCTAAACCCTAAACCCTAAACCCTAAACCCTAAACTCTAAACCCTAAACCCTAAACCCTAAGCCCTAAGCCCTAAGCCCTAAGCCCTAAACCCTAAACTTAACCCTAAACCCTAAACCCTGAACCCGAGCGTCCTGGGTGCTGATCTCTGGTCCCTGGCACGAGCTATCACTGGGTATTTGGCACTGGCCTGGGGTTTAGAGGCTCTGGGGTTTTCAGCTTCTTAAGCTTCTTAAGCTTCTCAAGCTTCTCAAGCTTCTTCAGCTGGCACTTGGGGGTTGTTACGTTCGGAGTCAAGACGGTTCGATCGCTGGCCTGCTGCGGCACCTGCTGGTGTGCACAGCGCCTCGGAATTGATCCCGGACGCTCTTGCCTAGCGCCGTGCGCACTTCCGCTCGCGAACGAGGCCCCTCTCGTTCCCGCAACGCTCTTGCCTAATACCCCAGTGGCACGTCAGGGCCAACAATCAACAAGAGGTGCTCGAACATAACAGCATGCTTTTGGCCTCACGACGGGGGGCAAATCGTGCTCTCGCCTAGCTCTCGTGCAAGCATCCGTGCTCGAAATCGTGCTCACGACCAAATTCTGGCCTGCCTCTTGGCTCGCCCTAACCCTAAACCCTAAACCAAAAACCCTAAACCCTAAACCCTAAGGTTGACTCCTCTTTGTTCCCCGTCCTTCCTTTGCGTCTCGCGCCATCTCACGGAGCGTGCAAATGTTGCCCTCTCACCTGGGTCCCGTGTCCATACTTTAGGGTTTAGGGTTTAGGGTTTAGGGTTTAGGGTTTAGGGTTTAGGGTTTAGGGTTTAGGGTTTAGGGTTTAGGGTTTAGGGCTCTCTACAATTAGAAGTGGTTCTTGGACTGCTCTTGGAAGCTTGGTGGCCCAGTAGTACCCTTTGCTCCACTTTTTGGTTCACTTCCCCTAAGCCCTTTTAAACCCTACACCCTACACCCTACACCCTACACCCTACACCCTACACCCTACACCCTACACCCTACACCCTACACCCTGCACCCTAAACCCTAAACCCTAAACCCTAAACCCTAAACCCTAAACCCTAAACCCTAACCCTAAACCCTAAACCCTAAACCCTAAACCTAAACCCTAAAACATAAACCCATAACCCATAACCCATAACCCATACCCTATAAACCCTAAACCCTAAACCCTAAGCCCTAAACCCTAAACCCTAGACCCTAGACCCTAGACCCTAGACCCTAGACCCTAGACCCTAAACCCTAAACCCTAAACCCTAAACCCTAAACCCTACACCCTAAACCCTAACCCCTAACCCCTAACCCTAAACCCGACCCTAGACCCCAAACCCTAAAACCTTATTCCGACCCCTTTATATGAAACGATCTCGCTCTTAGAAGCCCGCAAGCTGGCGTTTGCCAGGAGTCCCTGCGTCCAGCTCTGCTGCCCTTTGCGCATGCCCGCCGGGCCTGATTGCCTAAACCCTAGCCCTAAACCCTAAGCCCTAAACCCTAAACCCTAAACATCTATTTTTGTCATGCAAGCAACCAGTCTGTGCTGTGACTAAACCCCTAATTTGAAGCAAAAAAAGTGGGGGGGGGGGGGATCCTAAACTCAACCCCCCTACCCCTTACCATTAAATGCCCCCAGTATAGGTATATTATAGTATATGGTGGGGGGGGGGGTTTTGAATTTTAGGGGGTAGGGGGGCGGGTTTAATAATATTAGGCGGACATTTGCGAGCAGTCACTGGATCCTGTTTAACTCCGGAAACTTAGACAAAAACCCAGCATTAGTGAATTAAGCCTGGTTCTATGATTAGCCTCATCTAAGCTTGTGCTTTTCTCCTTTGCCCATGGACCATCTTGTCCAGCCAAGGTTGTAGCAGCGAGAACGATGTCAACGAGCGCACCGTACTAAATACATTGAATGGAGTTGATGTTCATGTTTCGTTCCTCGGCTGCGGTCGGTTTTTTTTGACGGTGAGGGTGGGGTGTTTTCTCGAGCCCTCCACCCTCCCCCTACATCCGGCGCCGGGGGAGCACTTGCTGGCCAGGTGGTGGAAGTGGTGCGAGTCGACGACGAGCTCCGCGCGGACGATGCTGGAGCCCTATAAGCCCAAAAGCCCTAAAGTTTAGGGTGTAGGGTTTAGGGTGTAGGGTTTAGGGTTTAGGGTTTGCTGTGATAGGGCGTAGACGCAGTGAAGGTTAGGTTTCGGAACAAGCTCGAAAGCTTCGTGAGGTGCCGAAGAGCAGCTTTGGCCCGATTGTGGAGGGCCATCTAACACTTTTCTCCCACCCCACCGTCCAGCAAAGCCACCCAAACCTATTCCTTTTAGGGTTTTAGGCCTAAACTCAGACAACAGTCCACTTTTCAAAACTTATTCAGTTTCATGATGTTGGTTGAATCCGAGAGTCAAGCGTGCCAGCAAGGTCTCGAGGGTAATATAGAGGCCCGGGCCGGCGGGTTAGGGAGGAGGGCCAGGCTGCCAGGCGGACCAGGGGGCAGGGGCCAGAGAGGCCAGGGGCACAGTGGTGAGCCTCCTGGCCTAGGGGCCGGGGGGTACCCCCCCAAAAAGGCCAGCCAGCCCCAGGCCAAGCGGGGGTTTAGGGTATTTACTTTTTGTAAGGGACCAGTACTGATCGAGAACGTGTTGAGGTACCGGGCCCATCTTGTGCCATCGAGTCAAAGGGCTTAAGCGCCGCCCCCCAACGTAGGGGGGCGGCCTAGGCCCTGAGTTTAGAAGCCCTAAGCTCCTCACTTGACTTCGAAACACCCGAAACTTCTCAACCCCCCACCCATAAACCCCCAACCCCCCACCCCCCAAAGCCCCAAATTTTGAGCCCCCCACCCCCACCCTAAACCCTAAACCCCAACCCCTACACCCTAAGCCCTCAAACCCCCAAACCCTCAAACCCTAGACCCTAAACCCGCAGAGTCTTCGTGAAACTGAGGCCACGGCCTATCTTCATCACCTCGCGGGTTCCAACTACGATGACCTGGCGGCCCGGGCCCTCAGGTGTCCAAGGGTTCAGGGTTCAAGGTTTGGGTTTAGGGTCTGGGGTTTAGGGTTTAGGGTGTTTAGGGTTTAGGGTTTAGGGTTTGTTTTGGGGTTTGGGTCAAGCGGAGGGGTGAAAGGGGGTTTGGGGCTCTTTAACTTTAGGCCCTAGGGCTCATCTTGAGAGTTCCGTTGAGGGTTTCGGGGAGTGTTGTGCCGGATTGGATGGCGCCAAATTGACAGTAAATTTGTATGCTAAACCCTGAACCCCAAACCCCAAACCCTAAGCCCTAAGCCCTAAACCCCAAGCCCTAAACCCTAAACCCTAAACCCTAAACCCTAAACCCTAAACCCTAAACCCTAAACCCTAAACCCTAAACCCTAAACCCTAAACCCTAAACCCTAAACCCTAAACCCTAAACCCTAAACCTTAAACCCTAAACCCTAAACCCTAAACCCAGCAGGCTTGGACTTTTTTCCTCCATGCGGATGCCCCGGAGCATGTGCATCCCTTCCGCCTCCTGGAGGAGGTGGCCTTGGGGTTTTAGGGTTTTAGGGTTTAGGGTTTGGGGTTTAGGGTTTGGGGTTTAGGGTTCAGGGTTGAGGGTTGAGGGTTGAGGGTTGAGGGTTGAGGGTTTAGGGTTTAGGGTTTAGGGTTTGGATTTTTGGGTTTGGGGTTTTAGGTTTGGGGTGGCCTTGGGGTTTTGGGGACCTTGGGCTCGAACTTTTCGGGTTAAGGTTTGGTGGTTCAGGGTTTCATAGTACCTCATCATACCCCCAGAATACCCAGGTTTAGGGTTTAGGGTTTGGGCGCTAGGGTTTCGGGTTTAGGGATGTTGGGCTGTGTTGCCCTAGCGGTTAAGGTTTTGAGCTTAGGGTCCTGAGCCCGCCGGAGAACTCTTCCAAAATGCAGTCCGTGGTAAACAAAAAAGACGGCTGGCAGGCACAGCCCTAAAACCCTAAGCCCTGAAGCCCTGAATCCCGAAAACCCTCAACCCTTAAGCCCTAGTTTTCGAATCCTCAACTCTAAACTCTAAACTTTGGAAGGCCTATGCACCCACCCAAAGACCTGAACCTCAAGAGGTCCTGGCAGCCGCACGGAGTGGGATGCTCCAGGAGGACTTCGCGTCGGGAGGGGGGGGGGGTTCAGGCTTGCGGCTTAGGGCTTTGGGGTTTAGGGTCTTGAGGGTGGGTTTTGGGATTTCGGGTTTAGGGCTATTGGGCTGGTGGGGTTGTTTGCACTTCGGATTCAGGGCTTTGTAATTCAAGAATTAGGGTTGGGGACTATTAGCGTAAGTTCCCCAAGTTTTGGCGAATGCCCTTCCATGCTCTCAGTCGAAGGATCAAAACTCGTACCCTTGTGCCCAAAGGGACAAATGTGGGGTCCACTGCGGAGTCCCGTTGATTCAGGTGTAGCCTATATCCCCCTTGGGAATTATGTTTTCATTTTTGTTTATACAAAACCCCGCACTGTTGTGCGAGGACACCTTCCCGTTCCTCTACCTCAGCCTGGGCCTGAGTATCTTCTTAAACCGTAAACCGTAAACCCTAAACCCTGAACCCTGAACCCTAAACCCCAAGCCCGAAGCCCTAAACCCTAAACCCTAAACCCTAAACCCTAAACCCTCAACCCTCAACCCTCAACCCTCAACCCTCTACCCTCTACCCTCTACCCTCAACCCTAAACCCTAAACCCTAAACCCTAAACCCTAAACCCTATTCGAGGTCGAGAGTTTTTCTTGTGGGATTTGGCTTTGGGGGCGTCTGGGGTACTTCAAAGTACTTTCAAAAGCATGTGCCCTCCAGCATCATTGTGTAGTGGCAGATTGTGTTGAGATGGTTAGGTGACTAGGACCCAGTGTAGGCCCTTATTCCTTTCCTCAGGGTTTTGCGGAGCTACCTGAACCGTCTCTCAGCCCGGAGCTACGTAGTCTGTTTCCCTGGATGACGAATCTCCAAGATCCCAAGCCAGAACAAGACCCCTGGCCTCTGTTCAAGCCAAAACTTACCGAGTTCTTCATAGGGAGTCAGTGAGTTAGGTGCCTTATATCACCCAAAACCCTAAATCCTAAACCCTAAACCCTAAACCCTAAATAACCCCTAAACCCTTTCAGGAATTACATGAGGATTCCCACATTCCCTACAAGGAGCTGTAAGACGCCATCCTTCAGGCCCCCCAAGCTTTGCCTCCGTCGCCCCCCGGCTTCCTTTGCCCCCGGGGTGTGGTTTATGGCTTGGAGGGCCTAGGCCTTAGGGTTTAGGGTTGAGGGTTTAGGGTTGAGGGTTTAGGGTTGAGGGTTTAGGGTTGAGGGCTGAGGGTTTAGGGTTTAGGGTCGAACAGTTCAAGGCCACAACTACCTGGATCTGGGGACGTCCTTGCACACCTGGGACAACTTCGCCTCGCCAAGGCCGTGTTTGGGGTTTAGGGTTTAGGGTTTAGGGTCTAGGGTTTAGGGTCTAGGGTTTAGGGTTCTCCGGATTACCTGGGCTCTAAGCTTTGTCATAGTGGGGGGGGGGGGGGGGTAACATCTTGCGCATTTTGTGGTACTTAAACAGCTCTAAGGCCAAAATGCTCTAAGGCTTTGTCGTAATGGGGGTTGCAGTTTACACATTTTTGGTGTACTTACAACTCAGTAAGGAATAGAACTTTTTCAATACTCTCCCAACCATGAACTAGCAAACCCTTAAGCTCCGAAGCCTAACTCCTTAAGGCCGGAGCCAACAAACCCGACAACTTCCGAAGTAAGTCGGTCCAGGAGTGTTTGGGGAGCAGGTTTAGGGTTTCGAGGTTCGAGGTTTAGGGTTTAGGGTTTAGGGTTTAGGGTTTAGGGTTTAGGGTTTAGGGTTTAGGGTTTAGGGTTTAGGGTTTAGGGTTTAGGGTTTAGGGTTTAGGGTTTAGGGTTTAGGGTTTAGGGGTTAAATTCAAGACTTAGGGTTGCAGTGGGTGGGGGGTTTGGAGCCGTAGGGCTTAGGACTTTGTGGCTTGTTGAGTGGTTGATATGTTTTGGTGGGTTTGGGTCTTTTCTTAGCTTCTGGGTTGTGTAGTTTTCTTTTGCAGATGTGATTGCGGCTTGGGGCAGATTCTTTGCAGTTTGACCGAGGGTTTAGGATTCGATCAGGGTTCGACTAGGTTTAGGTCCCAAAAACCTGTTAGGTCCCTCTATCCCCCAAACCCTAAACCCTAAACCCTGGGTTGTATGCCCTGAACCTCAAGCTGCCCGAAGCCTCAAAGCCCCGACCGCCCCATCCCTCAAAACTATTGACCTCTAGAAAACCCTAGTGCACGAGCCCCGAAACCCTAAACCCTAAACCCTAAACCCCAAAACCCTAAACCCTAAACCCTAAACCCTAAACCCTAAACCCTAAGCCCTAAACCCTAAACCCTCCCTAGACCCTAGACCCTAGACCCTAAACCCTAAACCCTAAACCCTAAACCCTAAACCCTAAACCCTAAACCCTAAACCCTAAACCCTAAACCCTAAACCCTAAACCCTAAACCCTAAACCCTAAACCCTAAAAAACCCTAAGCCCTAAACCCTCAGCCCTCAGCCCTACAAGCTCCCAAGCCCTGGATGGCAAGGCTGTGGAGGCGAATCTTCGGCAGCACGCTGGCGCCGCCCAGGGAGGTACGCGCCCTGAAGGGGCATAGGGCCCTTGAGGGTCCAGGGCTTAGGGTTTAGGGTTTAGGGTTTAGGGTTTAGGGTTTAGGGTTTAGGGTTTAGGGTTTAGGGTTTAGGGTTTAGGGTTTAGGGTTTAGGGTTTAGGGTTTAGGGCTTGCAGAGATGGAGGTTAGGGTTTAGGGCTCAGGGTTTAGGGTTTAGGGTGTACGGTAGTTTGAGGGGAGTCTTGAGCTTGAGATTTGTAGGCCTTGGTAGTTGGGGGAGTAGATCAAGCTTAAGCTGGAACACATCGTCCTGATCCCTAGACCCTAAACCCTAAATCCTATAAACCCTATCTGGGTTTTTGGGTTTTGGGATGCGGTTGTTTCGGAGAGGGGTGGGGAGATGTGGAGCTGAGGCACCACTGGGCTCTGTTGATAAGAAAGGTGCAGCTCTCGGACCCCAAAAACCCTGAACTCTTTGAACTGCTATACCAAAATCCTACAGAACCCTAGAGCCTGCTCTCTGCCCGCAAGCGTGAAACCTTGATCCTACAAGACCAGGGTTTAGGGGTTTAGGGGTTTAGGGTTTAGGGTTAGGGTTTAGGGTTTAGGGTTTTGGGGTGTAGGGTTCAGGGTTAGGGTTCAGGGTTTCGGGTTAAGGGTTTAGGGTTTAGGGTTTGGGGTTTGGGGTTTGGGGTTTAGGGTTTAGGGTTTGGGTTTAGGTTAATAAGAGGGCCCTTGAGCTTCCCCAGGCGGTGAAGGGCTACTGCTGCGTGCAGTTCTTGGTGCCCCGACGCCGGGCGCTGCTGCGGGCGCGCGAGTGGCACCCTGCGGCGAACTTGCCCCTCCACCCGAAACCCCTAAACCCTAAACCCTAGACCCTAAATCCTAAACCCTAAACCCTAAACCCTAAACCCGAAACACTAACCCTAAACCCTAAACCCTAAACCTGCTAGGGTTTCCCCCCTATCAAACCTTGGACCGTTCATGGCTGGCTTTGTGGTCTCTGCGCGCGGTTCTGCGGAAGACTTCCTTTGTTGAATCCTGACATCCTACACGTTCTTTAGCATCATATTTCGGTTTCGAAGTTGAAGGTGTTGGGGTCTAAGTAAGATTCAGGGGTTGAATGCCCTCACTACTAAGAACCAGTAAGTCATCGGCCCAAACTATTGAAAATCAGGGTTTTGGCATCTCTTGGGCTTAGTTTCAAGACCCTAGACCCTAGGGTTTAGGATTTAGGGTTTAGGGTTTGGGGTTTGGGGTTTGGGGTTTAGGGTTTAGGGTTTAGGGTTTAGGGTTTAGGGTTTTAGGGTTTTAGGTTTTAGGGTTTATGTTTTAGGGTTCATCCCCCAGGGCTCGGCGGCTGCCAGGTATGCCGCGGCCTTGTCCTACTTTGCCTCAGCAGCATCCTATTTCGACCTCTTCCCCTGGAGTCGACTGGTGACGTGGCAGGACCCTCCGCAACTCTACCCTAAGTTCTAGACTCTAAGCCGTGTACTGCAAGCCGAATACACCCTAACAGCTACAACGCCAAGCACAGACAGCACTTCTGGGCAGACTCGGGGCGCGCGCACGCGCGCCCTTGTATTCGGGGGTTAAGCTGGTACTTATATTATAGGGAATATGCCTAAACAATAAATCCCACCACCCCTCGCGTCCGAGAGCCTTGTGGATTTCACGGAGTCAGAACCGTCCGTCGAACAGAAACCGTTTAGGGTTTAGGGTGCAGGGTGTAGGGATTTAGTGTTTGAGTTCAGTGTTTGAGTTCAGGGCAGGCCGGTGGGCCCTTGGTATATCGTTTGGTTTTAAGTGGAGCTCGTTTAGAAACATTTCTCCGGGGCTTTTCTGGGCCAACCTTGCCCACAACATCTCCAGAAGCCTCGAAGACACGAAGTAGGGCCCCAAACTCTAGGCCCAAACTCCCAAAATCTGTATAACCCTTAACCTGAGACCCGAAACCCTAGACCCTAACTCCCTTACCCTTTAGGTGGGTTGGGTTTTAGTGTGTTTTTGGGGGTTCTAGGGCTTGCGCAACTCAACAACTGGGATTTTTGTCTTAGTTAGGGGTGTAGGTTGGGGTTGTAGTACCGCCTAGTACTCCCTAGTATAGTCCCGATTAAGGACTATTGGCATAAGGGGCAACATTGCGGGGTTTAGGATGCCGTTTCACCCTTCACCCTTCGAGCCAAAATGCTTGGGCAACACACCAGGACCTCACCTGCCGAACTCCCGCACAGTTGTGGATGCCGTAGCCTCAGGAGCCAGATGAGGCCAAGCCCTATAACTATAACACAGGACCCTCATTCAAGTACCAAGGTCATGCCCTCATACAAGTCTAGAATCGGCGACCCAAGAAGGACTGTTTCTCATTTTCGTTCATCTTACCCCCAAAACCTGGACCCTTGAGGGTTCGAGTCGAGGGGTTGTGGCTGCCATGCCTCTTCAGGGGTCAGGGTTTAGGGTTTGGGGTTTAGGGTTCGGGTTTAGGGTTTAGGGTTTGGGGTTCAGGGTTTAGGGTTGAGGGCTTAGGGCTTAGGGTTTCGGAGGTAGGCTTAGCTCCTTTCATAGCCTGGCATCTCCTCGGCCACAAGATGTACAGTAGATTACGGCATGTTGGCTTTGGGAGCCAGGACTTAGGAGTTCAGGGTTTAGAGCTTTGGGGGAGCTGAGGGTTTGGGACTTAGGAGTTTTTTTTATTGGGTTCTCTGGGAAGCGCAACACGTTCCGCAAGAAAGTTCCCATGCACCCGATTCCCTTGCAAAGCTCGGAAACGACGCCCCGGGTGTTATGTAGTTTTTGCCTTATATATTTATATATGTATACATATATATATATAGAGAACAATCCACGGAGAGGTACATAGTAAGAAATACTGTTTGTTTTTTGTTTAAATGTTTTTCTATGGTACTAAGCGGGGCCATAGAACACCATCAGCCGAGCAGAGGCCATGGTGGCACGTGGTATTCGGCGAGGTCCCGCACTGGTACCCGGAACGACTGCCCAATGGAAAGCCCTCTGGAATCACAGCTTAGAAGATCGCAATCATCGCGAATAATCGTCACAAGAGCGGTTCAAAACACAAATCGCACATGAGTACGCAGTCAAAGCAACAAAGCACCGCGTACACCCATGTTTCGGGTACGCGATCGACATTCCTATGCTGTTCAGCCACAAATCCCGAGGGACTTGCAGAGTTGAAGCCTAAGCCCGACACCCAGTACCCCAAACCCTAAACCCTAAACCCCCAGAACCCTAAAACCTTGGGGCGTGGGAAACCCAGAGCCCGAAACCCAAAATGCCGATACAATGAATGAACTTGAGGTTGCGCTGCCAGTGTTGCCCTCCTCTTCCCCCTCTTTGCTGGTAGGTTTAGGGTTTAGGGTTTGGGGTTTGGGGTTTGGGGTTTGGGGTTTGGGGTTTAGGGTTTAGGGTTTAGGATTTAGGGTTTAGGGTTTAGCCTAGTTCAATCCCCAAAGCCCTGAGGGCTCCCTTTGAGCCTTTGTTTAGGGTTTAGGGTTTAGGGTTTAGGGTTTAGGGTTTTAGGGTTTAGGGTTTAGGGTTTAGGGTTTAGGGTTTAGGGTTTAGGGCTAGCCTCCCTGTACATTCCGCACCCAAAACCCCGGCGCCTTGAAAGGAGCTCGCGTGCCCGGAGCGCCACCAGGATCCACGGCTTCCCCTCTTCGTGCAGCTGAGGCTCAGGGGTCGAGTTTAGGAGTTCCGTTAGGGGTTCGGGTTTAGGGCCTAAATTCAGGGCATAGCACAGGCAGCTCAATCCTGGGTTAGCGGTTTTCGCGGTGCTTGGGTTGCACTCTTGGCTTGGGGCTTATGTTTTGGAAGTTTGGGGGGCTTAGGCTTAGACCCATATGCAAGCCCGATAAGTTGGGATGTTCCCCCTTACACGAACAGTCCTTTAATAGGGATTCTAATAGGGGGTACCATAATGAATGCCTATTAAGGGCTGTGAGCATAAGGGGGAACATCCCAACCCTAAACCCTAAACCCTAAACCCTAAACCCTAAACCCTAAACCCTAAACCCTAAACCCTAAACCCTAAACCCTAAACCCTAAACCCTAAACCCCAAACTCCAAACCCTAAACCCTAAACCCTAAACCAGGAGCATTCCGCCCGATCGCATCCATTGCTGCTGAGCGTCCGTGAGGAGGCACCCTACAGTCCCCTTTAAGCCTTGAGCCTTGCAGGGTTTAGGGTTTAGGGTTTAGGGTTTAGGGTTCAGGGTTCAGGGTTCAGGGTTTAGGGTTTAGGGTTTAGGGTTTAGGGTTTAAGAAGCGGTTGCGGGCACAGGAGTCAAGGCTGCAGGACACCTCGGTGCGGATTTTTGAAATCCTGCATTCGGTTGAGGGTGTAGGGTTTAGGGACTTTAGGGTCTAGGACTTTAAGGATTTTGGGTTTAGGGTTTAGGGTTTAGGACTTTAGGGAATGGGGTTTCTGGGAATTGTATAGGGTTGGGGTCCCAAAAGGTTTTGACCGACAATGCAGCTGACCGCAGCGTTTTGATTTTGGAGTTGTGGTAAGGAATCTCACTGCGGCGTTGGGGTAGGATGGGGGGCCCTAAACCCAAAAACACGCCTTGTTTCGCCTTTGAAGAGCCCTCTCCTTCCCTTTTTGTGGCGTTTCCCACGATTAGGGGTACCCTTGTTATTGGGGTTTAGGGTTTAGGGCCCTTTCAGGGGATTCGAGTCTTGTTGCAGTATGAAAGGCGTAAACCCCTAAACCCCTAAACCCCGAAACCGTAAACCCGTTTGGGGCCTCGGCCTTTGGGGCCTGCTCGGGACATTTTGGCCCAGCTCACTTGGTGGAGCCTGAGGGTTCAGGGTTTAGGGTGTCGGGGTTTCGGGTTTCAGGGCTCAGGAGTTTATGGGTTCAGACTGGTAAGCACAGAGGTTTTGGAGAATTGAAAGGTCAGTGCTTTTGGAAAACCCACAATACAATTTCCAGATTTAGTTTCGCAACGCGGATGTAGGGTTCAGGGATTAGCGCATACATTGGGGTGTCTTTCAGCTTCTCTCTCGGTAGTGCAGGGTTTAGGCTTGGCTTTCCTGAAACCCTAAACCCTAAACCCTAAGCCCTAAGCCCTAAACCCAAAACCCAGCTAAAGACGCATCTCATGATCTACGAGGAGCCTGGCTCGGGCGAGGCCGAACCCCTCCCAGAAGCGGCTCCTGGTTTCTGGGGGCCAATCATTGTACAGGATTCCGACACTAGGCCCTTCATCCTAAACCCTTCATCCTAAACCCTACACCCTGAACCCGAACCCCTAAACCCTAAACCCTAAACCCTAAACCCTAAACCCTAAACCCTAAACCCTAAACCCTAAACCCCTCTGAATGACACGTGCAGGTGGGCTTGGAGCACTGGCTTGGAGCATGGCGTGGAAGAGGCGACCGGGCTAAGGCTTCGCGTTATAGACCCTGAAACCCTAAAGCCTAAACCCTCAACCCTCAACCCTAAACCCTTAAACCCTAAACCCTAAACCCTTAAGCCTAAATCCTAAACCCCAAACCCTAAACCCTGAAGCCCCTAGGCTTCGTGTGGTTTCGTGTTTTGAGTTAGGTTCCGCTCCTTGGTGCAGCACATCGGTACTAGTACCGACGTCTTGCTGCGACTGTCTTCGGTGTATAGTGCAGCCTGGCTGTAAACTTTTAGGGTTTAGGGTTTAGAGTTTAGGGTGTAGGGTCTAGGGTTTAGGGTTTCGGGTTTAGGGTTTAGGGCTTAGGGTTTAGGGATTAGGGTTTAGAGTCCTAAATCCTGGACTCGCTGTTGCCACACCCGCAGCATCCAGTCAGTGTGCAGATGCGAACAATTCTTCTTTAGGGTTTAGGGTTGAGGGTTGCGGGCTTCCAGGTTTTTGTGACATGTGGCGCGAGTATGGTGCTTGAGCTTTGAGTATTCGATGTTATATGTAGAGAAGGTAGGGGGCATTCAGCCCTAAACCTAAACCCAACATGAGGGGGGGGAGGTGCTTGACACGCGGGGGAAGTGATTGCTCTGGCTTCGCCGACTCTCCCTGCGGTCCCTTTGACGTCAGCCTCTGATCGGGAACTGAGCGCCCTAAGCCCTCAGCCCTAATACGTAAACCGTAAGCTTGGGCCCAAAGTGGGCCCTTGTTCCCTTCTTTAGGGTGTTGGTTCCCTTATAAGCCCTTTTCTTAAATCCTAAGTTACTCTTGGGTTGAGTAAAAGAGTTTAGTGGTTGGGGTTGCTGCAGAGCATCAGGAATTAAGGGGCATCAGGAGGGACCCCTAGAAGGGACCCTTAATCTTGTTCCCCTACACACCCCCATACATACTTTCTATAGTCCCTATATACCTAAGTAGCCCCTAAATAACCCCTGAGGTCCCCCTCCTTTAGTCCCTTGAACTTCAACCAGGAAGAGGGAGGCAGACTCGCCGCCAACACGCTGGACGAGCTCACAGGCTCCGGGAGCCTTCCAAAAGGGCTTGAGGCGAAGGTGTTTGCATTGCTTGGCCTGTAAGCCCTAAATCCTCCTGAACCCTAACCCTAAAACCCTAAATAAATGGTACGTGATATCATTTTGAGTGTTCAAAGTTTCTTGTCTAAATGAACAAAGCTCCACGAACCTGGCCCAGCCAATTTTTTTGGACACCTCCCTGGAGGCAGAAAGTTCGATTTACTTCAGCCCCTGTGCTTGACAGCATACCTTGGGATGTTCTCCCTTATACTAGCAGTCCTTATTAGGGATTACAGTACCCCCTAATATAATCCCTAGAGAAGGACTGCTAGCACAAGGGGGAACATCCCAGAGAACACAATCTGAACATGCAAAGATGTTTGCCTAAACAAGTTGATTGCACAAAGATCCGCTTCCAAAAGAAAATCAACCCTAAAACCTAAAACCTAAAACATAAAACCTAAAACCTAAAACCTAAACCCTAAACCCTAAACCCTAAACCCTAAAGCCTAAGTGAAGACCCGAAAGAGGCCAGGTGCTGGAAGGGTCCAACACACCAAGGTCGCAAAAGGCCCCGCGACATGATGCCCATAAATTCGATGTCCTGGTTTGGACATGCGCTACACCACATACAAAAGACGGCGAGAAGACTCCCACGAAAAGTCCGAGGTGTTATAGTGGCAGGTTGCCAAGACATGTCAGCGGAAGGTGCCATTTGGATCTGGCAGCTTGCGAATTGCAATGACGTCTTGCGGCGAAGTACCAAGAGGCCGCAGCGTTGGAAGGTGCTTTGAAGGCTACTGTATCCTCTTTGTGCTTCGAGGGCTCAGGCCGTACGTTGTAAAGTGCTATCCCGCGCTGCAGCTAGTGCTTGTTCTTCACTACCCTAAACTCTAAAGCCTGAAGCCCTCAACTCTAAGCTGCAACAAAACCCCAAAATGCCGGCTGCTTCCCCTAGACATTCCCAAGACCCTAAACCCTACGTTTGGAGCTTAGCCCAGATCCCACTCAAGCCCTTCATTTTTCCGGAGGCTTCAGCGAGCGAGGAAGACGTGAGCGGTGGGGAAGCCCAGGGGGCCCCAAAAGCTTACACTGAGGTTTAGGGTTTGAGGTGATTCCAAGCAGTGCGCTCGGCCCGCCACATTCTTTGTTTGGGGGCTCGCTTGTTGCCGCTTGTCTGGCCTAAGTCCCACCCACCCACCCACCCAAATTAGCAGCAAGGGAAAACCATAATCTTGCTGCCTGGTCTTTTGAGCCAGCCTCTGTTAGGTGTATTTACCCAAGGCTCCGGAAAGGTAATCAAGCCGAAGCGCAGGATTTACAAGGAGGGTTCTGAAGTAAACCATAAGCCCTAAACCCTAAACCCTAAACCCTAAACCCTAAACCCTAAACCCTAAACCCTAAACCCTAAACCCTAAACCCTAAACCCTAAACCCTAAGCCCTAAACCCTAAACCCTAAACCCCCCGAGCACAAATGCAAGGCTTCAGGGCTATCATTGCGCAGGGCCATGCCTAGGAGGGGGAAGGGTCTTCAGTTTAGGGTTTGAGAAGCTTATTTATCCGGAAAAAAAAGGTTTATGGGTTTAAGGGTTTAAGGGTTGAAGCGTTTAAGGGTTTAAGGGTTTAGGGTTAAAGGGTTTAAGGGTTTGTGACAGCAATGTATAAGAAACCTCTAATTTTTAATGGAGGCACCCTCGGTTTACTCAAAGATGGTTACCTCAAAAATTGGAGGCCACCCTCTGTTTCTTTGTCGATTCTTAAAGTTCCCGCCTTAAAATAATTATTGATCCAGCCCCTTAACTTCTGAAATCCAGCCCTTCAACTTCTCACGTGTCAGGGGTGGGGAACCCTCAAGAGAAATTGAGCGGCTGGATTTCTTATTTGAAGGGGCGACACCAAGTTAAGACATTGAGGGCCTGGACTTCTTATTTCAGAGAGGGGAAGCCCCCAAATTACGAGTTGAGGGCATGGTGCCGCGCTCGGCGCCTGCTTGTTGAGTTTGGACTGGGCACTTATTTTGCATTTCTTCTTTGAAGGGGCAAAGCTCTCATTTATGAAGCGGCATGTCGTTTCTTTGAGAGCGTACCACAAACTCCTAACTTGGTCTGGCTCTCACTTGTCGCATTTCCAACCGGAAGCCCCCTGGCTGAGGGTGTTCGCTTCGTAAACCAAACGATTTCACAAGCAGTGCGGTCACTGTGGGCTAGAAAACAGGATTTAGGCTGAATGGCAGGTCTTGAGCATTGAGATTTCAAGGTTAAGATGTGATTCTAACAACCTTGTACAGCCTAAGTATGCCTATACTTGAACTTTAGATCTTGATCCCAAAGTTTGGGTCTGAGGTGGGTCAAATCTTTGGCTTCAACTGCAGGACTCGAAGGGAGCATTGCATGATGATGATCTGCACGATCCCTATTCTTGGTAGCAGTCTTGCCTTATGCCCTTGTAGACCCCCAAACCCTAAAACCTCTTACATCATGAATGCACTTGGGTGTAGATAGAGGTGCAGATGCAGGTCACCAGTCATGGGCTGAGGCTTGGATCAGCTTGTGGACTGCAAGGACGTCCTGCGGCAAGGTGCCGAAAGGCCGCGACATTGGGTGATGTCTTCGAACATATACCCCTCCCTACACCGCCAGTAGGCTAAGCTGCCACGCTACTCTACCAAAATCCCCACGTGTTGCAGCTTAAGGGCCTTGCACGCATATGACCAGCATT